ATAATTCCACGACAGCAGAAGGGGCCAAATCTTCCCTGCAGGACTTGCTGCGGGTGGGTGGAATCCAAGGGTGGTGATTGGGGGCGGGGGTGGCGGGGAGATGTGGGGGGCGGTTCCCTTTTGCACAGCAAAGCTTTCACAAAGCACATAATCACCTGCCAATATATCTTCTTGCTAAGCCTGAACTTTAGTCCATCCAGTTTCCACAGCCCAAACCACCTGCATTGCATTTCTGGCAGGATGTGGGAGACCTAAGCCAAGGGAATCTCCCTGAGCTCATGGCTTCTGCGGGTAATTAATGACACATGCAGCCTAAATGTAAACTGTTGCACATCTGTCCAATGTGGCTTGGTTAAATCCATGCCTTGAGGCAGGGAGCTGACCTCCATGGCCTCAGGTAACCCTTCCAGCTGGGGACAGCAGTGACCGGAAGGCCTCAGAGCCACTGTTCTGCTCCCCCAAACGGGGATGGACCTTGACATCCCTGGTGGGCAGAATTGCCGTGTGCCTTTCTTTCTTGTAAAGTAGGTGTCAACGCCCCATTTCCCCGCCAATCTTTAGGAAGCGGCACCTGCAAGGTAGGTGACTGCAGTCCGGCCTCCCTCATCTCCTCGCCTAACTGGCCGCTTCTCCTCTCTCCCCACCCTGCTCCATTCAAACCTGCTCTGAATAAGTTGTGAGGATCTCATAAACTCATGCGCACAGAGCCACAAATCACTGAGAATGGCTAACAGGATGGCCTCTGAAGGGTTACTTGCATTTCACTTTACCCACAGGAAGAAATCTCAGGTGTTAGCAACTATGGATTCTGGTTCTACCTACTTTTTTTGCAGTGCCTGTCCTGACAGGCCCCCTTGTCAAAATATTTACTACTCATTTTTCTTCATATAACACCAGATTTCAAAGCTTTTGCATCCATTAAAAAAATCTTTCTACCTTTCCGAAAAGAACGCGGGATGAAGTCTGGTCTGGTTTTCACTCTCAGGCCCCCGCACGTCCTCGCCATCATTAGTAGGGCTTCTGGTGGGTGGAGCCCTGGTAAAGAAACACCCTTCACTTGGTGGAAACCAGCTAGCCACAAGAAGAGCCTCTCTGAGCCGTATGGCTGTGCCAGGAAGAGGAAGATCAACAGACCTCACCCCTGGGCCAGTGAAGCCTGCCACTGTCTGCGGACACACGAGCTCATCTCTGGAGGACTTGGACCATGTTTCAAGCAACTAATGTTTATTAGGTCCCAGGTCAGCCTATAAAAGCTCTTGGAATCCAAAATGTGCTTGAAGCTTGGGATCATTAGTTCTGGTTTTCCCATACTTTGCTTGTTCATTCATTCAATCCCTCATTTAGTCAGTGAATGTTTACCAGGTGCCTACCAGATGTAGGGTATACAAATTCGGTTTGGCGCAGTTACGTGACCTAGGCTAGAATGACAGCATCTCTAACAAGACAGAGGCTGACTTCTCGCTTGCCGAAGCCCCAGCTGGTGCGTTGCTCAGGCCCCTCTACCTGTTGCTCTGTATTTCTGGAGTGAGCTCCTGTTTGCACGGTCTGCACACCTCACACCTGCACTGATCATGCTCCTTCACCAGTGGGAGGAGGTGGAGGAGGAAAGGCCCAGCCAGGCACTGCACACAGCATGCTCATTCCGCCCATTGGCCAGAACTTGACCACGTGGCCACACCCTGTTGCAGAGGGACTGGGGACTGTGGTCTTTATTTTGGGTGAACATAGGCCAAGCTAAAAATCAAGAGATCTCTTACTGGGAGAGAGGAGGAGAGAATAAACGTTGGGAGACCACTAGTAGACTCTGACAAAATTGATGTATAAAGCAGATGTGCTCCTGTACCATGGATCTCACAGTCCTCATGGGGGGATGGAGACAGTATGAAATAACAAGTGACCCTAAAAGTGAGTGTTTCCCTCTGTAATGAGGGGTGCCGGGGAAAGCACAGGGCACTCAGAGAGCAGTGAATAGGGCGTCAGATCAGGCTTCTTGGAGGAGGGAGCATCAGCCTGCAGGAAGACAGACCGGAGGAAGTGGGGTATGCTGGAGAGGCAGAGGGAACTGCATATGCTAGGATCCTGTGGCAGGCAGGAAGGCAGCTGGCCCTCAGGAGGACTAGGGAGGAGCTGGTGTGGCCGGAGTTCACCGACAATGAGAGGAGATGAGAGGCAGTGCTAGGATAGGCAGGGCATCTGGAGACCCCACCCCGCCATCGGGACACTGGGAAACCTCCCTGTTGGAGGGTGGGGATTGGCTGGAGGGGTGACACAGCTGCATGTGCAATTTTAGATCACTCCACTGTCTTGCCTGCCTTCTCTGGAAACAGGGATCCCTGGAGCTCAGTAAAGGTTACAAGGGTAAAGCAGGGGAAGTGGTCCCGCCTGCACTGGAGGCGGAAGCATGGACAGAGCTGTGCTGGCTCTACCACACACCAGACATCTTGTGCCTGATTAGAATCCCAGAATGCTGGTGTGGAGAACACAGACAAAGCACCCAGTCTTGCTCTTTTGTGTACAGATGAAGAGGCTGGGCCTAGAGAGGGAGAGGGCCCACCTGGGTCCCCCAGCAGGGTGGTGGTGGTGCTGGAAACAAGAGGGACTCTTTCTGACTGCCTTGTGGTGGTAGTGGTGGGTGGCAGGACCTGGGCTGGGGTCACTGGGTTAAACTGGTGTCACCTGGCCCCTGGAAGCTACCTATCTGAAGCAGCTCCAGAAACTTAAATTTGCTAATTAATTTATAATTCCAGCCCTAAGCCATAAAATCAAACCACACACTGAGCTGTCCACAGTTGCCTGACAGCTGGCCTGTCTGATCCTGGCTGTCTGCTCACAAATTGGTATTAGTGGCACCAAGAGCAGATTAACATGGTGACCAGGCACCCAGAAACTTGATGCCACCAGCTGGGCTCAGTAAAGCTGTCAGTCTCCCCAGCTGCTAAGCGGCCCAGGCACCCACATCTCCCCAAGCTTGGGTTGCAGAGCAGTCCCGGGCCCAGCAAGGGGTGAACCTTTCTCAGCGATCAAATGATGCTGTTGGTCAAACATAAGTTACAGGAGAGAGAAGCAGCACAGCATTGCCAGAAAAGCAGTACTCAAATTTCAGAGTTTGCATGGGGCTTGAGAATCAGTGTGGACCATGGGCATTCACCATCCTAGCCAAAGCCCACATTGCAGAGCCAAAGAACTGAGCCCAGAGAGGAAAGAGCTGAGGTGGTGTCACACAGCACAGGATTCTAGCTCTGGCTCCCTCCCTGCCAACCTAATGCTCTACCTGTTCCTCTAAATGCGAATGCCGCTGTCCCATCATCTCTGTTAACCTGCATTTTTCTTTTATATATTTGTTTACCTCATCAGCTCCCACCTCTTGAGCACCTGCTAACATGCCAGACACCATACAAGGCCCTAGGATACAGGAAGCAAAATCACTGGGGAAGAACTAGAAATGTGAACAGAGTCCTTCATTGAGGTTAGTATGATATACATTAGTGAACAAAGGATGGGAGGGCAGGAAGACACCTCAGACAGGTTGAGCCACAACATGGGTTGGAAAACACCATGGTACAGTGGTATCAACAAGTCATTTTTTCCTCCCTTAAAATTCCAGAGCCAATATAGTCATTCTGATCTGCAAAGGCCTTGGGCACCCATGCTCCTTCTATCCACTACATCCCTGGTCCTCATGGGTCAAGATGGTCACTAGAGCGCCAGCCGCCAGGTCTGCACTCCAGGCAGCAGGATGGAAGGGCAAAGAAGAAGTGGAGAAATATATGTCCACAGAAACACTTGAATAAGAATATTTAGTGTCAAGAACTATAAAAGGTCTGAAATTTTACCCAACTTGAAAGGCAATGAGTTAGGCTCTTTGAGAGGCTGGCAGCAGATTCGAGAACCATGAGTCAGAGACAAAGGATGTTATTCCTTACAGCACCACAAGCAGTAACTGTATCAGCATATTTGTATCAGTTCCCTTTGCCCAAGTCCCACAGGACAATGTGAATGGACCCAGACAGATACTGCACTTGGAGCGAATTGCATTACAGGAGAGGACCCCTGAGCTTAGGGAACCCAGATCTTTTATAATGGGAAGCAATCATGCTTTCCCTTTGCTCCAGAGGGAGATGCTTGATCTTCCAAAGCTTTTTGCAATACAAACATCCATGAAAAAATAGGTCAGTCAGTGCCTTACTCATATGATGTGCAGAAATAGGAGACTCATGGGAACTGTCTCCCAACATACAGCAGCTTTATTCATAGCAGCTCCAAACTGGAAACAGCTCTGACATTCAACAGGAGAAGGAATGTATTTATGCAATGGACCACACTTGTGCAGTAGCCATCCTAATGGGTGTAAAATGGTATCTCATTGTGGTTTTGATTTGCATTTCCCTAAACATGATTGATGGGCATCTTTTCATGTGCTTGCTGGCCATTTGTATATCTTCTCTGGAGAATGCCTAACTACTTTGCCCTGTGTTTTAATAGGTTTGTGTTGTTAATTATAGAAGGTTTTAACCAGGGTGGCAACTTAGATGTATGCATTCGGAAGATCCCTGTGGTGCCCTGTTTGGAGTGTGAATTGAAGGCAAGAGTGATTGCTCAGGGAGGAAGCTGCTGCAGTGATCCAAAGATGACTGATAGGAGTCTTCACCAAAACAGAACCACAGAAATAGAAAGGAAGGGATGGGGAAAGAGGCATTAAGGAGCAAGAATGGGCAGGCTTGATGAGCACGTGGTAGGGGTGGGGAGAGAGGGGAAAAGTCAGGCTCTCCAGGTAGCTGACTGATGACCAAGCTCGTCACCATAGATAAGGCATCCTGTAGGAAGACTTGCAAACTCTCCTCTGGTAACCCCCGCCCCCATGAACTCCTACAGAAGCAGCGGCACCGGACCAGCATCATCAACTTCTCCTGACGTGATTTTGTTAAAATATCACACCTAGCTCTGAACATTCCCTGTTTGCCTGACACTGGGCCCCGCTCCCCCTACCCCTGCCCCTCCATCATGTCTAGGCACCTGATGCCCTTATCCCTGGCCCCAGTGCACATAGGTTATCCACATCTTCAGTTCCAGGCTCTGTACCAATCCTCACAGATTGACAACCTTCAGAAATGTCTCTGGCTTTTGGACCCTGGCTCCCTGGACTGCTTTTGACTTTGTCTGCTGCTCAGGTTTGGGGGCCTCTTGCGTAGTGGGTATCGATTGGGGTGGGTGTCCAGCTGATGGGAGTGCATCCAGTATATGACCTGCCCCTGGCCGTTGCCAATTAGCTCAGGGTGTGGCCACTTGAACCAGGCTAAGCCAAGCAAAAACCTTTACAATTCCCCATGCACAGACTGTCTGCAGACCAAGAGAATCCAGAGAATTCAGTGTCCAGCTGGAGCTGGAGCCGGCACCCCCAGTGCCAGCCCTGGCCACTTCTGCCTTGTCTCCATCCCTCCCCCTTTGCTTCACACAACGGCCTCCCTGACTTCCTTATGCCGCAGCCTCAAGGCCATTGCCTCTGCCTGGAAGCCTCTCTCACCTCCAGCAGCTGTCTGCTCATGTGTCACCTTCTTCGAGGAGCCAGTCCCTGTCACCTTGCTGGCTTCTCCTGGAGGTGCTCTCACTGGTGTCCTGCGGGCTGGAATCTCCTGTTTTGTTCACTGCGGAACCCCCAGAGTCTAGAAGAGTGCAGGTGCACAGTGGGTACTGTTACATTTCTGGAATTCAGGAAGAATGAGGAGGACGGTGCAGTAGTGTAGCAGGCTCACAGAACTCTGCCTGTAGGGGCCGGTCTCCCTAGCGGAGGGAGCTGCCCGGTGAAATAACAAAGGCCTGGGGCTCACACCGTAATGGGGAAGTGCTTGGTCCCGGCCAGGTGACGATCTTCACCTCTCTGCCTCGGTTTCTTCAGCTGAACAATGGAAATAATCACCTGCCTCTTAGTGCGATTTTGAGGATTAAATGCAGGAAAGCAAGTAGGCTTTGGACTTCAGTCAAGGCTCGGTAGCATAATAACGGGTCAGGAGCACGCGAGCTCTAATCGGAAGCACTTAGGGAGTCGTATGGTGCACAGCCTCTGGGCTACAGGGCCAGAGGCGACCACAGGCTTGCTGGCCGATCTGCCCACCCCGGCCGCAAGTCGCGACGGGCGCCGGCGACCCCGCCGCAGGCGGCGGAGGGCGCGGCCGGACCCGCGGGGAGGCTTTGTGCGCCGCCTGATTTCCATTTCCCCAGATAAACACGCGGCAGGGGCCGCGACCTCACAGCCTAGCAAATGCCTCTGCTCCCCGCCCCGCGTGGGGCCCGCGAATGAGATGATTTACTCCTGTTTTGCATATTAATTGACCTAAATGCCACCCGTTCTGGGAACAATTAAGAGGCAAGCCCTTTGGCGCCCCGGGCCAAGCGCTGGCGGCGGCGAAGTGGCGGGCGCCCCCTCGGGGCCGTGGGACGGGCCGGGGCAGGGGGCTCCGGGGACGCGCAGCTCCCACCTCCGCCGGCCGCGGGCACAAAGCGGCCTTTGTACGGGCTCGGGGCCGGGCGTTTCCGCGCAGACACAGCTCCCGCGCCCAGCCCCCCCAACCCTGCCTCGAGGCGCCCGAAGCCTCGCACAGGATAGGCCTTCACGCTCTTCCACCCACAAGCCGCGCAATGTGGGGTGCCACGTTGACCCTCGCCCTTCCCAAGGAGACTGAGTGGCTCACTGGCTCGCAGGTGGGACCCGCCTCTTACCTGATCATGGCCGTGCTCTTGCCCTTGGCGGTGCTGCAGCCAGGGCTGCGGGGGCCGCGGGGACACTGGGCCTCGATCCAGGCCTCCCCGACGACCTGAACCGCAGCCACGGAGCTGGGGGTGCCCGCGCGGTCCTTCGCCCTCACACTGTGTCTAGGCGCACGGTGGAAGGGGGCCGACAGGAAGAGGGGCTGCGCCAGAACTGGTCCTTCCAAAGCACACCTGCTTGCTGCCTTTCCTGGGTCTCCACTTTAGGAAACTGGTACCACCTCCCACCCCCCTGCTGGGGCTGCAAACCGCGCCACCCCGCTTGACTCTTTTCCCTGCTGCCTGTGGCGCTCATCCCACTCCTTCCCGCATTTCCGCATGTCCTGTGGGTTCCAAAATACCCCATGAGCTCTCTCCAGTTGCACTCCTCTGCACTGTCACTGGTACAAGCGCCCCAACTCTCCCGGTTGCCACTCGGGCCCTGTGGTTTCCCATGAGGGTGCTGCAGCCTTTCAGGAGGAGGTAAATCAGATCCGGTTGCTGCATCGCCCCACCCACACCCCAGCCCTTCAAAGGTTTCCCTTTGCACTCAGAAATTGACTCCTCTTTCCATGGTCCCGGGGACCCCGTGGGAGTTAGCATTTCTTCTGTCCCTCCACCTCTAGGAGCATATTCCAGACTTCTTTTGGGAAAGCATGTTTAAGAGGAAACCTGAAGGATGAGGAGGAAACTGGCCAGCTAAGGAGTCAGGGGAACAGTGTCACAGGCAGAGGAAACAGCATGCAAGGGCACTGAGGTGAGAAAAAGCCCTTGGCTGATTCTAGGATGGCCCAAGGCCACTTGGCTTGGAGTGCAAGGGAGCACAGAGTGACAGCAAAGGATCCCCTAGGTGGGCATGGGCCAGGCCTCTCAGATAAAGGGTGGGCAGGGGCCAGGCCTCTTGGGTAAAGTGCTTGGGATTTTTTGTTTGTTTTTTGAGACAGAGTTTTGCTCCTGTTGCCTAGGCTGGAGTGCAATGGCGCCATCTCGGCTCACTGCAACCTCCTCCTCCTCCTGGATTCAAGTGATTCTCCTGCCTTAGCCTCTCGAGTAGCTGGGACTACAGGTGTGTGCCACACCTGGCTAATTTTTTGTATTTTTAGTAGAGACGGGGTTTCACCATGTTAGCCAAGATGGTCTCGATCTCCTGACCTCTTGATCTTCCTGCTTCAGCCTTCTAAAGTGCTGGGATTACAGACATGAGACACTCTGCCTGGCCGCCTCTGGTGGTATTCTTTTATAGCAACACAAATGGACTAAGACATGTGGGAAATCTAGTCCAGTGCCTGCAATTGGCAGCGGCAGCCACTGCTGCAGCATCTAGTACAGGACCTGAGAGTCAGTCGATCCATTATTCAGCCAGCAATCCATGAGCTGGGCCTGCTTATGTCACCAGGCCTTGAGCTCAATAGATGATCATTCCCATATCCCCTTCTTTCTTCTGGTTCTTTAAGGAATTCATTTAAACCTTTGATTCATGTAGAATTTATTTTGGTATAACATGTGAAGTGAGGATCTAAATTAATTTCTTTTACAGATGGGTAGCCAATTGTTCCAATACCAAATATGGATAAATCCTGTTTTAAGTGCCAACTTGATCATATGGTAACTTCCTATATATATTGGGTGACTTCTAGTAATTTCTGAATTATATAGCTATTCATGTACTTGTGCCATAGGTTTAATTGTTTTAGCTTTATAATAGATTTAAAATACAAGTAAATAATGGATGGGGTTATCTCTGCTTTTTACATTTCTGTTTTCAAACTTTTCCTGGATGCATGTGTATTTTTCCATATCAACTTTAAAATCAACTGGTATGGTTCCACAAGAAATTCTGTTAGTATTTTCATTGCGATTGTGTTGATGTGTAGCTTAATTTAGGAGAGCTGGCAACCTTATCATGTTGAGATTTTTAACCCAAGAATGTGGTGTTAAGTTCACATTTGTATCCTTTGGCAGCATTTAAAATGGTTTTGCACATTTTTAAAAAGTTTATTTCTGGGTTGCTTTTGCAAATGCAGTCTTATATCCATTATATTTTAGTTCTGGTTGTTGTCTGTGTATTCGAAGGCCATTGATAATAGAACACTAATTTTGAATCCAGTTACCTTACTCAGTTATTTTGTCATTTTCAATCACTTTTTCAGTTGATTCTTGTGGGTTTTCCATGTAAATGGTCAAATAATCTTCAATCAGCAATAAGTTACCTCCTCCTCTCCAAACGGATACCTCTTTCCAGGAGCACTGGCTAATCTCCAGAGTAGTGGTGATGGTGATGACAGTGTGAAGATTATCTCCCCTCTAGCTTATTCTAGATATAAAACATAAAACAGATGACCGGGCTAAAATAGATAAATGGTAATTTATGGACTTATCCATCTAGTCTAACTTATTCAAAGCATTTTTTCAGAATAAGTATTAAATGTTATGAAAAAGTTTTTTAGAAACAAAAGATAAACAGACAATCCTAGAAGCTTCGGAGACTGAAAAAGTCACACAATGAAGATCGAGAATCAGAATGGCATCGGACTGCTTCACATAAACCCGGAACACCACATGCCAATAGAGAACTGCCTTCAGAATTCTGAGGGGAGATGATTTCCAACTGAGATTTATACCTCCAGCCAAACTGTCAATCAATTATCCAAAAACTGAACTCCCATATGCAGTATCCAAGGAAGCTACTGGCGTCTATATTAACAACAAAATGAAGGGAGTAAAGCAAGAAAGAAGATGACTTAGGGTCTAAAAAACAAGGCACCCACACAGGACCGAGGGAAAGGGAATTCCCAGGGTACCAGTGAAGAGAAATTTCACTACCTCTACTACAATGGCCGGGAGAATAACTCGGCCAGGTAGAAGCAGGAGGGCTCCCAGAAAAATCGCACTCACAGGTTGCCAGATGCGTTTGACTAATTACTAGAAATTTTAGAGTTTTATTGTCACGGTTTGTGGGAAGAATTAGTAATCTTACATCAAAAACTGATTACATTTAAAAAACTGAGGTAATTACTAACTCCAGGGAAAACAAAAAGCTGTACAAGACAGCAACTGTACCTGTAATATAGTCCCTTGTTTAGCTGTGAACAATCTATATGTAGATACGATACGGTAAAAACTGAGTGCTGATTTAGCGACTGAGAGAGGACTATCTTGGAAAGAAAAGTGTGTGTTTGTGTATGGTGGCTGGTGGAGAACCAGCAATCTTCCACGGGAGGAAGCCAATACATAATATCCAAAAAAAAAATACATCTAGAGAATGATATTTCGAAATATGAAAGTAAATGTCAGCAGGAACAGCTAAAAGACTTGAAGCCGCTTTCTCTGAGGAGAGGCAGGGCTGGTGCTTTTCATTACCAGCCTTGCTGCACCATTTGACTTTTAAAATTTTGAACATGTAATTTTTTTATAAAATTAGAAATTTAGTTTAAAATTTTTCTTGCTTATATTACCTAAAAATCACCTTTTGTACCACCCCCATTCTTAAACTCCTGACCTCAGAGGAACCACTTACCTTGGCCTCCCAAAGTGCTGGGATTACAGGCGTGAGTCACTGTGCCCTGCCAAAGTACCACCCCCATTCTTAGCAAAATGAGCTCACCAAAATTTAGACAGACCAAGGTACCAGTCCCAGCTCTACAGATTGCTAGCTGTGTGGCCTTAGGCCAGTTGCTCCGTCTCTCTGGGCCTCCAAATTTTTTTGACCTAGAAAGTAGGAATAATATTAGTACCTACATTGTAGGGTTACTGAAAGGATTAAATAAGACCATGCCTAGACCTGGCACATAAAAGCATCCCATAAAGGATACCTGTTGTGATGGTGGGGGCTTTAATTTCACTTTCTTCAACTCCTAAGTGACTAACTGTGGGCATTTTCCCCAAGCCTCCCCTTTAAAACTGGTAGAAAATATTTTGAGCCTCTGAAGAGATAAATGAGATAGCGAGTATAGAATGCCTGGTACCTAATCTCTCTAAAACTTAAATTTCTCATTCGCAAAATGAGAAAATCCTTTTAGTGTTTTCAGAGCACTAAGTGAGATGACATAGCAAAAGACACAGCCCAGTACCAAGGACACATTTATTTACTCAAAAAAGCTAGCTATGCATGACTGTGAACTTTTAAGCATCATGAAAGTAATACATGCTGACTATAAAAAACTGGAGACATCTAGAAAAATGTAAAAATAAAAATTTCCAGTCACTGCAATGCTTCTCAGTAATATTTCTCCATCTACTTTGTGTACTTATTCTATCAGTCAATATAGTTCTTGCTCTAAGGAAAACTGTACCAAAACCTCAGCGGTTTCACAGAACAGAGGTTCATTTTCTGCTTATACCCAGATCACAGGAGTCCGGGTGCCTCTCAGGTGCTGTTTCCCATACTTTGGCTCAGTGATAGAGGCTCCTTTGAGCTTCTGGGTCTTCTGAATCAATACATATTTCCATGGCTCCTTAGGCCACAGGAGAGTGGGCTGGGAAGAGGAGCACGAGCAATTGAACACCGTCACCAGGAAGTGACACAGGTTACTTCCCTCGCATGTCACTGGCCAGAACAAGTCACACGACAATCCTGATATTGAGGGGCGAGGAAGGAAAATCTCCCAGGGTGCCTGGATGCAATGGGCAGTGGGACCGGGGGCACCGTGACTATGACCACCCCACACATTCCCAGAATCGAAGACATACCGCGTCTGTGATTTTGCTTCTTCGCTGCTTTTGTCTCTTCCCATTACATCATAAAATACTCTTTGAAAACATGTGGCACAGATAAAACTGCAGATTTAAGAAAAGATTTTAAGTTGTATGGTGACACTATTTCCCTCTTCCTCGTTCTCTCCTTCCTCTTATTCTTCTAATTTAGGGAATTGTGTGTAGGTGGCAGAGATCCAGGCCCCAGAACTTCACATGTCATTGCTCAGAAATGCCTCCTCTTCTCCTCCTGGCCGACGCAGGACAGGCCGGTTCTGTCATTCCTTCCTGGAGAGCTTGTGCAGTTCCGTGGGCGTCTTTCCCTCCAGAAGTAACACGTTTGGAGGTGAGGCCCAGAGAACCTGCTGAACAACTGCTGGCTTAACAACTCCACATGTGGGGTGTGGCTGCACGCGGCTCTGCCGGGGCCTCCTTGCGCAGACAGCCAGCCGGTGGTGTTAACTCGCAGTGTTAAAAGTGACACCAGAGTGGTGCCGGCGCCACTGTCAGCTGTTGCAAGAGATGACACCCCGGCCTGCAGAGTTGGGTGTGAGCTCAGGAGCGACAGCCCCTCCTTGCTGGTGTCCCAGGATCCAAGGGACCAGTGAGAAGGGGTCCAGGAGGAAGGAGCATGGTGGGCCCACTTATGAGGAGTGTTTTGTCCAGGCAGGCAATATATGGGAAACTGAGGCTGTGCAGACAGTGAGGAACGTGCAGAGGTCAAGAGGCCGAGAACTGGAAGGGAGGGCCGGGCGAGTCAGGGAGAGCACGGTGCTGAGAGCTGCTCTGTTCCTTTTCCCTGAACTGAGGTGCCGGGCGCCTGCTCTGCTCCTGCAGGGAGGGCACCTGCGATCTTCGTAAGTGATTACCGACAACTTCTGAGGTTTAGAATCCAGCTGTGAAAATGTAACTGACATACTTGGAACAATTAAAGAGGAACACAAAGTGCACTCTCATCTGGCGTTAGGCTGTGCAAGCAGGTGGCCTGGATTTCAGAGGACCTGGCAGGAGGAAGAGTTTGCTGAAGGCATAGAGATGGTCCAAAGGGCTCCTTGCTTGTCAGCTGCCACCAGCCACAGAAAGCCCAGCGAGAAGGGGAAGAAGAGCAAATGTGGAGCAAAGAAAGCAAGCAGGGAGAAGGGGTTATGTAATCCTCCAGCAGTGTGTGAGCTGGGCAAGGCAGTCATCTGCAAGCCCCTTTTGCCGAAGGAGAAACTGAGATCCAGAGGGCTAACCCACCTTCCTTCCTCTGGGGGCAGCGCTACAACTGAAGCTGAGCTGGTCCAGCCTGGTGCCGACTACAGAAAGACTTACATGCATTTTCCCTCACAAGCTGTGGATAAAGGTGTAAGATCTGACCTGTGCCCAGCATCGGCTGGGAGCTGGACCAAGATTTCATGGAAAGTAAAACTCAAGGCATTCACTCCCTTGGGTGTGAAATAAAACAACTCATCTCTAGCTCTGGGGTTTGCAGAGCACTATGCTCTTTATGATCTTATTTTCTTCTCTCAACAACCTGCGACAAACCCATTATTATTTCCATTTTGTAATTTTGGAAACTGAGGCTGGGAGGGAGAAGGCCCTACAATCTGCAGCTCTGGAGGGAGGAGACAGAGCCCAGTTTCGAGCCTGTTTCGAGCCTTCTTTGATCTATCACGCAGCTTCTGGAGTCAATCGTCAATCATCCAGGACAACCCAGATGTCAGCTCATTGGCCTGCTGAATCCCATTTCCTCTTCAAATGTGACCCGCCCCAACAAGCTCAGCCCAGAGCCCACTGGACTAAGAGTGGATTTGGAGGGTGCCACCTTTGGCTGGCCAGCAGCCAATTAGATACTTCTAGCTCTGACCTAACTCTACACAGGGAGCTGGGAGAACTGAGGCACAAAGGAGGGATAGTAGCTGGAAGTCTGCAGGTGCTCAGAGCCAGCCAGGTTTCTCCCTCTCCCCCGCTGCCCTCTCTACCCCTCCTTGAGGCCCTGGAAGGTATGAGGCTCAGGAGCTTTCCCTCTTTCTATCCAAGGTTAGTAGAGTTTTCTGAACTGTGAAAGTCATGTACCCCAAGGCAGCAAGGAAAGCAATCCTGTAGAATCCAGGGAGCCTGCATTCAGCTGCTAGGCCCCCAGCGAGGTACCTTTCTCCCTTTGAGATGACAACTTCCTGGGGGAGCAGAGTGCCTGCCTATTGCATCTGCCTCTGTATCCTCGCTGCACTCATGGGCTCAGGCATGAGGTCTCCTCTTAGTTTATACATTTGTGAAATGTTAGTGGAGTGCCCTCCGTATATCAGGCACCTTTTTGTAAGCACACATTTTGCGCTTCCTCCCAGCTTCTGACCCCAGGATGGGTTTTCCTGTTAGCTTTGCTGCTTGGCCATGGTGCTGGGCCTTTCCTGGGCTAGAGTTTTTGCTTCCTCCTTCACATGCCATGCTCTGGGCTGTTCCTCTGGTCTCGCTATCCTTGCAGCTCTGAGTTAAATGCCACCTCGCCAGCTGATTCCTGGGAAGCTGGGTTGGGCCCATCCCTCTATGGGGCTCTGGGTGCATTCCAGCCCTGCAAGCACAACCTGGCCTTCTGATAGATTGGATCACATAAAACAAGACCAGCCTGGAGGCTTTGCTGTGGGCCAGGCTTTGAGATGCTGCTGGAGAGCTGGGGCCTGGGAGCCTAGGCCATTTTCAGTCTATAGATATTCTCATGTCCCTCATCCTAACCCCCTTCCCATCTGTATCCTGTCCCTCCTGCAGGCTCTCTTCTTTCCTCTACCACCAAATAACCTTGAAAGTGTGATCGCCAAGGCCAACTCCATCTTCATCCCATTCCCTCTGCCATTCCGGGTCTGCCCCCACCAATACTTCCTCTCCCACCCTCTCATGCCCCTACCCTTCCCCTTTGGGACCCCTTCGTCCTTTCCCCAGAGCCCTCTCAGCCTCTGTGGCACTCCCTGGTTCTTCCCTCCAAGACCACACCTTCATCTTCCCAGGAAACGCCAGTTCCCAGGTCCTCAGTTCCCATGTGGGAAGATGGAGGCTCCGAGAATGTAAGCTGCCGGCAAATACACTGCTGGGAAGTGCTGGGACCTCACCCAGGCTCTTCCCCTGCCGTGCAGGCTGTCACTGAAATCCGCCGGGCCCTCACCACCACGCCAGTGGGAGCCCCCCACAGAGCCACACTCCTGAAGGTGTTTCTCTATACAATCTAAAGCACAATGCCATTTTTCACCTCCACATTCCTGTCCTTGTGCGGCAGGTCGCACATCTCATTTCCAAGAAAGGCATTTGGGGCTGCATTCTGTGAATGGCCTGTTGCTGTTTGCTCGTGTTCCCCTGGGGTTGTTGATTTCCCACTGACTGTAGGAGTGCTTCAGCATTTAAGGAAACTCACCCCTTGCCATATGTGTTGCAAATATTTTTTCTAGTTTTTTTTTTATGGTGGGATTTTAATATCACATGCAGTTGAATTTTCAATATTTATTTTTTGACTTGACATTTCAAGTCAACCCAGCCAGCCTCCTTCTGCAGTGTTCCTCTGGGCTTTCGGGGGTTCGAGGTTTTCCCTGGTCTTGCCCTTGGCTGTGTAGATGGATGTGGTCCATTTTCATCTCTGCAGTGCTTGGAAAGCCAGCCTTCCTGTTAACACTACCTCCAGCTTCCTCAAAAACAGGGTGAAACCTACAGGTGAGCCTCTCCTCTTGGATTCCAGGTGAGGATGCTGGAAACAGAGCAGGTGGCCGATGGACCTACATGGGCAGTGCATGGGGCACAGCAGCAGCCAGGCTTCAGGACATGAGGTTTAGGGAGAGTGAGTAGAAGGCACCTGGAGTGGTCTGTGGCCAGGAGAGTTCTGACTATGTCCAGAGGAGGTCAGAGGTCAATCCAGAGAGAGCAAGAGAAAGAACAAAAGCATGCAATAGTACTGCTTACCTGTGGGACAGGTCTGCCTTGGCCAGGACAGGTTTCTGTGAGCCGGAGCACACGGGTTGGGCACTGATGGTACAGCTGTTGGAACAGCGAGGCGCCCTCCCACAGCGTGGGGCAGACCCTGGGGGTCCGGGGGGTCCCTAGGGTCGCGGCAGTCTCGAAGGGGAGGAGCTGGAGCTTGGCAGGTCTGGCGATGCCCTAATTAAGTCGCGGGTACATTTCCCAGCCCAACTGTCAACCGTGCGGGGCGCGAGCCAAGAATGAATATTCCCAAAGCGCCAACAGAAGGAAGTGCTTCATAAAAACGGAGCCCGAGGGCGTGAAGGGAAAACAAGCCCTGTTCACACGCAGGCAGCAGCATCCGCTCGGCACGGCCCCCAGGAGGCGGAAACGCGCACGAGGAGCCCCCTGCGCAGATGTGGAGCGCCCGGGAGCTGGAGGCTCTTTTCCTGCCCGGCTTGTGCCCCCTCGGAGGCCGCCGGGGCTCCCCACGGTCTTTCGGGGACCCAGGACGCAGGCCACTCCCTCCGAGGCTCCAAGGTGGAGTCCTACGGGGCAAACGCCCCAGAGCAGGCGGCCTGTCCGAGGTTTTCCCCTTGCTGCGGGAGAGGGGGCCCTTTCGTCTCTAGTCGTCCTGGGGATGACCTTGGGCAAGTCATCCCTATCCCCCTCCGAGCTTCACTGCTTCCTTTTCTGACAAATGGAGTTACTCACACTCCTGGGTGGTTAGAAGGATGGAAGGAGTCACATGAATATCACTGGCTATAGTATCTCTCAATGAATGATGGAGATTCCAAGGGCGGAGAAGCAGAAAAGACGTTTTAAAAAGAATTTCTTTTCCTGCTTTGGGGAGTTTGCCTTCTGTTCCTTCTTCCACGTGCTGCCACAGTGGCTGAGGGAAGACTCTCCAACAAGAAAGAGCTGATCCACAGGGCTGGGTGGCTCATGCCTGTAATCCCAGCACTTTGGAAGGCCAAGGCAGGTGGATCATGAGGCTGGGAGTTCGAGACCAGCCTGACCAACATGGTGAAGCCCTGTCTCTACTAAAAACACAAAAATTAGCTGGGCGTGGTGGCACACACCTGTAATCCCAGCTACTCAGGAGGTTGAGGCAAGAGAATTGCGTAAACCTGGGAAGCAGAGATTGAGGTGAGCCAAGATCAGGCCACTGCACTCCAGCCTGGGTGACAGAGCAAGACTCTGTCTCAAAAAAAAGAAAGAAAGAGCTGATCATAGGGCACCCTCAGTCCAAACTGCTCCGGGTGGCTTTATCCTCAAAGCAGTCAAGCTTCTGAGATGACAAAGACCCTTCGACAGGCCAGTCAATGTCCTTGGCTGCAGCTCTTCCCAGGTACCCACCAGGGCCCCAGCCAGGTCCAGATCTAGAGCTGCCAGGGCCAGCCATGTTGCTGGGCCCACTCCTGGCCCTTCTCTGTGTCTCTGCAGAAGCTTTATGGAGGGAGGTGGGAATGTGGGCCTGGGCGCTGGGGTCCTGCAGTTGATCCCACGTGATGGTCTGATATGTAGCACCTAGGCCACTGCAGGCCTCCATTGTTATTTTTTCTGCTGCCAACCTGCCCCCTCAAGCTCAGTGTCACCTCTCTGTTTACCTGACAGGCTCTCTTGATTGGCAGCTTGTGAAGCAGATGCCAAGCCTCGTTCATGACGTTTCTCAGCATCTAACACAGTGCCTGGTGCACGGAAGATGAATTTAACTGGCAATGCAAATGGTGTGCGTGAGCAGCACCCACAAGAACCTCTCTCCACAAATATCCAACATCTAGAAAGCCTGAGGTTCCAACCCTGGTTCATTCTTTGAAGAGGACTGGCTATATCATTTGCAAAATCCGGGGCAAAGTGAAAATGCAGGTCCCACCCGGCACAGTGGCTCACGCCTGTTATCCCAGCACTTTGGGAGGCTGAGGCGGGTGGATAACGAGGTCAAGAGATCAAGACCATCCAGACCAACACAGTAAAATCCCATCTCTACTAAAAATACAAAAATTAGCTGGGTGTGGTGGCGTGCACCTGTAGTCCCAGCTACTCCGGAGGCTGAGGGAGGAGAATCTCTTAAAACCAGGAGGCAGAGGCTGCAGTGAGCCGAGATCGCACCACTGCACTCCAGCCTGGCAACAGCGAAACTGAAACTCCGTCTCAAAAAGAAAAGAAAAGAAAATGCAGGTCCCTTGTGAAAAGGTGAAAAATTTTAAAACAGTGACAACAGAGGATTAAACCCAGCATGGGGTGCCCTTCGGGGTGGGAAAAGGCGGGGGCCCTGTACAACCTCACAGGTCACATGCCTCTGGAGCAGCCTGCCTTTAGGTCTCCTATTAAAATACTGCCCCTGCCCCCATCTAGGGCACTCCCTGCAATGTGGTTACACTCAGCTAAAGAGCAACATTTCTCTTGTTAGGAAAAAGCTTCTGGAAATCCTGGAATCAGTGGGCAAAGCCTTGGCCATTCTTCTAGACAAGTCAGCAAAGCTCTGATTAAAAACAAAAAGATCCCTAAGTAAATTCTCCTTCAAGGTGAATCTTTAAGTCACAAGCTTCTCGGCCTCCCAAGCTTTCCCTTTGTCCTGTTAATCAGGCTTTTCTTTCTGTGACTGTTATTTGTTTAAAGACAAGGTCTTGCTCTGTCATCCAGGCTAGAGCAGTGGTTCCATCAGGGCTCACTGCAGCCTCCATCTCCCAGGCTGAAGCAGTCCTTCCACCTCAGCCTTGTGACCATTTATTATTGAGCACCCACTACGTGCATTGTAGTGGGGAGCACAGACAATAAATAAGGAGATAAATATGCAGTAAAATGTGAGATGGTGCTATGTGCTAGGTAGCAAAAAAAAAAAAAGGCAGGTAAGGAACTAGAAAGTGGGGGGAGGCACAGTGGTGAAGTGGTTGGGGAAGTCCTCCCTAAGGAGGGACCTCCAGAGCAGACACCTGAATGAAGGAAGGGCAGGCCACACTGAGGTGGACAGTGTGTTCAGGGCTGAGGGAAGATCAGGCACAAAGGCTTGGAAGCAGGCATGTGACTGGCAAAGGCAGTTGGGGGCAGATAGGGGTAGTGTAGGAGGAGATGAGATCAGATAGGTGGGAAGGAACCAGAGCTGGCAGGAGCTTGTAGGAACCCAGAGCCGATAGGGGCTTGTAGGAACCCAGAGCTGGCAGGGGCTTGTAGGGACCCAGAGCCAACAGGGGCTTGCAGGAACCCAGAGCCGGTAGGGGCTTGTAGGAACCCAGAGCCTGCAGGGGCTCGTAGGCTTGGAGGAGCTTGGATCTGACACCAATTGCCAGAGAGCAAGAGATCCTTAGCATGATTGACAGCAGGCAGTCACTTCCCCTCCCAGAGGTGATGCTCAAACTGTCTCTTTTCCTTGGCACACTGACTTGTGTTTTAGCAGTGCCTCCTGAGAGCCAGGAAGATGCAGGGGACACAGGAAATAAGAGGGTACTGGGTTCAAAGCTGTCTTCTGCTGTGACTGCTTTGGAACTTGGTCCATTGCTTATACTCTCTGAATCTTAGACTCTTGTGCCCTGCAACTTTGTCAGGAGGGCTCAGGGACATGACATACCTTGTAGGTAGCCTGGCACACAGCAGGCACTCAGGCAGCATTAGCCACAGCAATCACCCCTTTTCCCTTCTCTAGAGGGCTCACTGTTGGGTGAATCCCAGCATCACTAGAGTTCCAGGTCTCCTCCCTCTTGGGGAACAAGTGTTTTGTCATAGGCATTGTCTTCACATTTCCTTCCTGGAGTTCGAGGAAGGAAAGAGACTTAAGGTTTGTTCAGTGCCAGCCCCCTGCCCGACACCTGCTACACACGGGTCCACATCATCCCCAGCAAGCCCAGGGAGTGGACACAATCATCCTATTTTGTGGGCGAGGAAGCTGAGGCTCAGAGGAACTAAGGGATGTATGCCACAGCTCATAGGTGGCAGTGCCAGCGTTCCAATCCAGGCAGGGCTGCAATCAGTCTGCAATCAGCCAGAGGCCAGCTGACCTTAGAAACCTAAGGGTCAGTGCGTATACCCTGGGCCCCAATGCTGGGGTCTGAATCCTGCCTGTGCTTCTTCTAGAAAAGTTACTAGGACAAGCGTCCAACATGCCTGTTTCCCCATCTGTAAAAGGAAAAGAATAACAGTCCCTGTCTTACATAGTGGTTGTGGGAATGAAATAAGATTACTCATACATGTACCTAGAACAGTCCCCAGCACACAGTAATTGCTCAAATAACCTTAACTATCATATTATCCGAAAGTTGTGACCCGGCGTTTTCTTAGTAATGCTTTCTGAATCAGACCCTCCAAGCCTACCTTTCCTTAGGCTACCCAGAGGCAAGGAGCTGGGTGCCCCATCTGTGGCAGATTGTCCTTTCACGGAGGAGCATGGCAGCACATCTCCCTCTCATGCTCTTCTACACTCTGCATTCCCCCTTCAAGAGGTGGAGTCTTATTTCCCTCCTTCTTGGACCTGGGGCCCAAAGTCATGTTCCATTCTGATCATGGATTGGAAAAGGCCATTCAGCTTCCACTTGCTTCTTTTGGGATCCTTGCTCTGGGGAAGTCAGCTGCCTCCTAAGAAGTCCAAGAGCCCTGGGACTGTCATCATGGAGACCAGGAACAGAAGCCAGATGTGCCAGCATGGCAGTGAAGTCACATTGGACCCTCTAGACCAGCCCACCCACAGTTGATGCCACGGACAGTGGAAGAATTTTCCAGCGAAGCCCTGCTCACATCTCCCAACAGAGGGGGAGCACACAAGGTCAGCTGAGGTCAGCGACCAGGCAGGCTCAGGGGCTCCAAGACACTCACACAGGGTCTGACCTGAACAGAAGGGAAGGTCCATTTAGGGTTGACTCTGGGGATGCACCCAGACTGCTGCTTCCCACAGGGCTCCTGCGAGGGGGTTGGGGGTAGGTTGTTCACCACAGACTCACTTATTAGGAGGCCAGGGACTGGCAGCTCCCTGCCCTGGGAGAAGCAGATGAGGAGAATGACTTAGCCTGGTGCTCTCCACACAGCCTGTAGAGTGGCCTCTGCCAGTCACTGTTGCCCCAAATTGCAGACCTAAGCCCCGCCTCTCCTTCTCCTTAGTGCAGTGGATGAATGGGTGGGGTAGACTGCTGCAAGAGTCTCAAGGAGAGATGCCCTGCGTGCTGCCGGGAGGGGTATGGGCCTGCAGGTTTTTCTAGCGCTTTCCTCCAGCCGCTGGGATGGTGTCAAAGCACTTGGAGGGAGGGGACCCTTCCGGGGATCCAGAGACTTGCCCTTGTCTGTGCTGCTAATTGGGGAGCGAGGTTTTTCCGACGAGGGGCTGTAATTAGTTCAGCATCCACGCCCTGGTCTCTCACTCCTCCTGATGTCACCATTTGCTCCCACAAAGAAGGGCCTCCCCTGGCGTCAGCCTGTGTTAGTTAAGCATTCTCTCAGCTGGGGAGCATGAAGCGCTGCCCCGTGCCAGGCCCTTCCCTGGTCCTGGAGGTGCCAAGATGAACAGGGCCTGGCTGGGAGGGTAACTAGAGCCAGCTCCCCATGGCTTCCAGACCACTGTGCGCCTCTTTCCAGCTCCATGTTCCGTGACATCTTGTGGGTAACCTGACACTGGCCACGGCGGGGTATCCACCCCTGAGAGACGGGCAGACGCTGCAAGTCAGGCTTCTCCTGGCCTCCTCAGAACCAGCTCAGCCCAGGGCAAGGCTCCTTTCCTCAAAGAGCTCTGAATCTCTATGGGAGACACCGTGTCACCTCTGCACAGCCCACGTCAGGTCCTCAGTGCTGGGAACAAGATGGGCCGTGTTTGCAGAGGAGTTGGGTTACCACAGACCCAGGGATCTATGCTTCTTTCCCACACAGTCCCAGGTGAGTGGCATTCCTCTCCCTCTGGCTTCAGTTGGGCCCATTGAGGTATCTGAAGCTCGAAGACCTTGCTGAAGTCTCTGTGGCTTGTTGTGGCGGAGACAAAAGTTAATCTTGGGTCTATTGTGCATTAGGGACCTTAGAAATCCTATGTCCAAACCTCTCATTTTTAGGTAGGCTACAGAATTCCAGAGGGGGAACAGAACTTGCCTGCAGTCCCATGACAAGTTAGAGATAGAGGCAGGAGGGGAAGTCAGCCCCTAATTGCGGCCTTAGCTAAGACTCCTCCTTCGGCTGGGAGCGGTACTCAAGCCTGTAATCCCAGCACTTAGGGAGGCTGAGGTGGTGGATCACCTGAGGTCAGGAGTTCAAGACCAGCCTGGCCAACATGGTAAAACCCCATTTCCAAAAAAAAAAGACTCATCTTCACACCCCTTCCCTGCCCCTGGAATCCCTTCAGTGGCCACCAGTACCTTCCAAAGAGACCCCGCTTCCTAGAGTGCAATCCACAAACCCCATGCTTCAGGGCTGGTTTGTGTATGGAGTCAGATAAAGGGGCGGCCCCCACTCTGCCCCTGACCCAGGGCCCTAGCTTTGAGAACTGCCTCCTAGCCCGCCTGGCAGGGGCTGGGCCGGTGCTTCCGCACTCTGTACTTTGCTTTTCTCTTCTCAGGGTCAATATTTGCTGTTTAATAGTTGCTCTTTCCTAGTGTTTGAGGTTCTGCATTTTGCCCTGTAGTTTGGGTCCTGGGGTCAGGGAGGTGGCCTAGAGCAGCCACTGGCAAGACAGAGCGGCCTCAAGCAGAGATCTGCTTAAGAGTCTTCCTGCCACGCCTTTCCCTATATTCATATTTATACACATCCCCTCACTCCTATTCACATCTCCTCAGCCAAAATGCCTTCCCTGAGTGCCAGCATCCTGCCAGGCACTGCCAGGTCTGGGAAGCAGAGAGGCGACTCAGCGAGGTGTGGGTAGAGACGGCTGCTCTTGCCAAACTCATCCCTCCACCTCCAGGGCTCCCTGTGAGGTGACAGCTCCCAGCGTCCACTGCAGTTAGAGGTGGCCAAGTGACAAGGTGAGCAAGAGGCACACCACGCCTGACTCAAAATCCTCTCCCTTTTTCTGTCTTCCAGTTGAAATTCGAAAATCGGGCAGGGAGCACCAAGGCTACACCCAGTGAGACGGCAGTCCCAGCATGTGGCTGTTTAAATTAAAATTAACTGGCATTGAGTGAGATGATATGTTTAGTTTCTCCATCACACTAGCCACCTTTCAAATGCTCTTCAGCCACATGGGCACTGAATCGCAGCAAGTTCTTTTGGAGGGGCTGCTCCAAGACCCCAGGGTTCTGCTGACCAGGTCACCTGCCACCTGGGAACATTCACGTAAAGCTTTATGTGAGAGAGAAGTCAATTTCTTGTATGCAGTTAAGACGTGGGCTGGGGAAGGTGTTGGCCACTATAACTAACACATATGCCCTGGCCTGGAGGAGCTTTCAATCTGGTAGAAAACAGAGATAAGTAAATAGCCATGGGTGACCTGGGGAGACACAGGAGCCTGAAGATCCCTGGGCCTAGATGCAAGGCAAGGTAATCAGAGATGGCCCCATGGAGGAGGCGGCACCTATCCCCTGCACTGGGTCTCTCCGAGGGAGAATGGTGGGAGGCATTTCACCTCATTTATCTCCCTAACTTTCTAGTGTCTGCTCTCCTTCCTTCGGGCAGCAAAAGCCTCCTGCTGTCTTCTTTCCCTCTGACAGACATGGGAAACAGCGCCCCCATCCCCTTTTGGGGCCCATATTTCCCAGTCTCGGTGCCTGTCTTCCCCCAAGGCCTTCTCAGCAGCCAAAGCAGGAGGTGCGCATCTTTCTTGCTGCTCCAGAGACCCAGCCCATATAACCAGGAGATGAGCAGAGGCTGATCCGGAGGGCACCACAGCCCTCCGCACAGACAGCTCTGGGCTTCTGAGCTAAGTGAGCCAGTCAGAGCCCTTCCAGTTCCCACTGAGAGCTTGAATATTAACACTCTTCCTTTAATTGCGAGACTTTCCCAGGTTGAGCTCTGACAAACTTATTTATACAGTGGTGCCAGTCCATTCAGCATACCCCATTTGCACGTTCTGCTTGATCAAGGCCTCAGGCTAAGCCACGTAGTTAATGGTGAATTTTCGGACCCATCAGTAGTAGTTGAGGGGGATGCTGGACATCAGTTTCAGGGTGGGGAGTTTGACTGTGCCCACACACAGGCGAGAGAGAGAAGGGGTGCCGGGCATGCTGGGCTCTCTGCCAGCCCACTGATCATTAACAGAAGGGACAGAAGGACCCCAATGATGAGGTAGAGTGGGCAGAAAACTCAGAGGCAATTCCCTACAAAAGCCTTGGAAGGCTAAAGAAGACAAGTGCCCTTCACACTGGCCATCAGTCCTAACCAAGGTGGGGACGGCTGGCTGGGAGTGAGGAATATCCCCTACACTCCAGGTCTGCTAGGGCCCAGAGCCCACAGCCCCTGGGTCTGGGGTCTCCTCCGTGGGGGATGGACTGAGCTCCCTTTTCTCTGAAGAAGACCCCAGGGTTCGAGGTCCTGTGGTGCAAGGAAAGAGCAACACAGAAGGCAGGAGGCAGAGCCCAGGCCCAGGTGTGCCACTAACTCCAGAGACCTTGGGCAGGTCACCGCTCAGCTCAGAGCCTGAAGCACTGGTCCACAAAAACAAGGGTTTTTGTTCATTTGGCTTTGTATATTTTTAGCTACTGGACCAGTCAGGGTAACTGAAGGAAACAGATGACGCACTCAAAGTAGAAGGACTTGAGAGTTTAATAAAGGAACTATTTACAAGTTGAGGCCAGGGTATAGGACACCAGGAGGAGTCTGCTCCTGCCTCCAGGGATAAGGAAGCAGGGGAGTATTACAGATCCCAGCAGTAGGGCCGAGTGGAGAGCGCCTCCTCCTGGGCCAGGGCCTCCAGGGTGGGCAACATACTCAGCCAGATTGTGGCCACTTCACTCCCCCTGCCAGTGAACCCCACTAGGCAAACCCAGCCAGAGCCCGATGATGGGGGCTTGTTGATGTCCACTTGGTCAGGCTCTGGGGCACAGAGAAGGGGCAGTGGGAGGGAAGCTCAGAAGGGCAAGTGGAGGTGATTTAGGGGACCTATTGCTTCATGGGGCCACTGTGATCTGGGGCGCTTTCCTAGGCATTCCATAAGCATCGTTTCACCTAAACTCAGCCCAAGAGCTGAAGAAGGGGCACCAAAGCCTGGCAGAGCCCAAGTTCTTTCACAGAGCCCCATGGAGATTACTGCTTGCATTCTCCTGGAAAGCCACGAAGTTGTTCTGGAGCAAGTGAACTCCAAGCCTGTGAAAGGTGTAGATTGTTCCAACCTCTACACTCCTTGCTGTGGGTGCAGGGTCACCACACAGGGACCCAGAACGCATGGTTTCTTCACCCCGGGTTCCACTGACAGATCGATGTAAATGGCCATGGTGTGCAAGCAAAGACTGGCCAGGATAAAAATCACAGCATGGGCAGGGTTTAGAGGTCGTTGTCCAAACTCAGAGACTGTCCTGCATTTGGTGGAGGAGGAAAGCAAGGATCAAGGAGGTGAAACAACTTACTCAACATCATCAGGGGCTGGTCAGCTGCTCGGCAGGTTGGAAGGAGGCTGGGCCTGACGCAGCAGGAGGAGTCAGAGGGCCAGGGGCTTGGCCTGCAGAAGCCAGGGTGGCTCGTCCTGAGGTTGCTGCAAGGAGGCCGCAGCAGGGCACATCCTCCGTGGGTCAGGGCCACAAGGCCCCTGAGAGCACGTGGCCCAGGCCCTGCAAGGGCAGACAGAGAAGCCCGAGGGGAGGTGGGGGAGTCTCAGTGGCAGGCCAGGACTCCCCAGCAAGCATACCAGGACTGCTCTGTTTCCAGGGAATATACGTAATGATGAATGCACAAAGCTCTGAAGGCAGTTTCCCATCCTACTTCCAGTAGTAAGTTACTTCTCAGTTCCTGTTTTCTCCGTGGGAATAGCAGCAGAATTTGCCTAACAAGTGTGGAGAATTTGCCCATGAATAGCGGGTTCTTAGGACACGTGTTTTTGCACAAGTCGAGGCCTCAGTGATCCCAGACACTGTCGCTAGCACAAGGCTCTGTGCTGCCCTGGGACACACGCTATCTCATTCACACCCCCAACCACTTGGGGCCTGCCTGGTCTCCAAGCCTGTGCTCAAGGCCACTGCCCTCGCTGCCTCCTAGTTGGGTGCCTACTCCACACTTGGGTCTGTGTGATACCTTTGCCCATTTTCCAGCCTGGTCTTTGCTGTAAAATTGTTGGCTCTTTTCTTTTGAGAGACAGTCTAGTGCCATGGAGGGACTCTGCATTTCATCATCTGAAAAATTCACTTTTGAGAAGCAACCCGCTATTATATGTTAATGTGTTGGATGCCGCACCAGGCTCCAAAAAGGCCAATTTTCCTTCCTTCCCAGTGGCACCTGCAGACTCTCAGGAGAGTTGTGGGGTTAGACTCATGAGGCCTGCTGGGCTGTGTCCCTGGGTTACTGAGCCAGGTGGTCTGGGGGCAGGCTATTGCGACCTCCATTCTACACAAACACTTCAGGAGACACTGCAGCAGGCAGCACTCTCCCCCCATGCCTCCAGGCCAATGTCTGTTAACCAAAGGGGCCTGGAGGAGGCTTCGGGGAAGAGACCTCACCCCAGCTGGGGCAAAAGAGCTGTGGCTGCAGGACGAGGTGACACTGGCCAGCCTTGGAGTCCGGCAGCCCTGGTCTGCACCTGGGCTGAGCCACACACTGGCTGATGACCTTGAGTAAGTCATTTCACCTCCTTGAGCCTTGCTTTCCTCCTCCACCAAATGCGGATCACTCCTCTTACTTGCAGGGCAGTTAGACACCATGCAGGTCTGCAGTGCCTGGAACGGGTGGAAGCTCCATCACATGGAAGCAGCCTTTGGCTCTCCCTACAGAGTGGATGGTGGGGTGCAAAGAAAAATGCTCTCCCCGGAGGTGGAATCACACCCCCAGGTGCCCTGGCTGGCTGGCAGAGGAGGGGTTAAGGATGACTGTGTCCATGGAACAAAAGTGGCCGGTGGTGGAAACGCTGAACTGTGATGATGAGGCTGACTGGGGCTATTTTCGGAGCCCAATCGCACGGAGTAATAGGATTGGAGCAGAAGCAAGCGTGACCAGAGCCGATGTTCTCAGCTACCGAGGCAACAGCCGGCCAGCCGCGCCAAACAAAACACTCCACCGCTCCTTTCTCCCCTCAGGTTTTATCTTGACCTTCATGCAAGCTACCCACCCTCGCCAGCACCAAGACAAAGATTGCTTTTGATTTCCTAACTGTGGTGTGCTTCAGACTCACTGCTCCTACACCCTATGACTTCAACATGGTGTCCATTCTGCAGTGGGGAAACTGCGGTGGGATGGGACAGGGGCAGGCACATCTCTGCTGGGGTGGTCTGGTGGGAAGGGAGCTGCAACCAGGAGTCAGGGTAGTCTAAGGGCTGTGAGTCCCGGTCCTCCCCATGTAACCCGCAGCTTGATAGCTAGCCCAGGATCCAGCCTCCTCGGTCACACTCATGCCTTCTAGCTGTCAAAAAGCCATGCTGGGGAGAGGATCCCTTTCTGCCCTGCACACCTGGAAACTGCATCAGCCTTCAACTTGCTCCTCTCACTGAAACTTGCCTGGAAGACGAAGGCATAGGGAACTCCTGTTCTGGGGGCAAATGTGGTCTAGCTGGGCATTAAGACCAGCTCAAGAGGGAGCAAGATGAGGAGCATCTCCATGTGTGCCCAGTGGTAAGGCCTAGGCTACACCAGGAGTTTCATCTTTTCATCTGCAGACCTTTGTGATGTAGGCATCACTATTCCTATGCCACAGGCATTTGGCCACTCACTAAGAAGTGGCAGAGGCCCTTTGCCCTCTATGCCTGATGCCGGGAGATCCTTGGACCCAGATGGGGGCCCCTCCACGTACTCCTGTGTTCACCCAGTGCCCTTACCAGGACATCTCCAGGGCAGATTGACATATAATGGAATAATACATTTAAAATGTGGGAATGCCTTTGGTGTTTTTCTTTTCTTCCCTGTTTGTGACCTTCCTGCTAGTCTGCCAGAGGCCCAAGCCTCCAGGAGGATGAGGGTTGTGAGGAGACATAAAGGGAACGTGAGAGCTTAGCCAGACTAGGCTCTCCAGGCCCATAGCAAAAGGGGTTTGAAAGCCAGGCTTCCCTGCAG